CGGCCCCGGGCGGGGGCCGCCGCTACTCACGGGTCTCCAGGACGGGGCTCACCGCGAAGGCGCCGGGCTCCGGGGGGGGCTCGCACTCCAGGTCCCCCTTGGTGCTCTCGCTGCTGGACAGGCACCCCAGGCCGGAGTCCTGGCTGTTGGGCGGCGAGAACACTGCGAGGGGAAGAGAGAGAAAACACAGCACCTGAGGCACACGCACACCCCCCCACGACCGGAGGGGGCCCACAAGGGTCCGCCCCCCTCCCCAATTCCGGGAAGAGGTGCGAGCGGTGTCCCCCCCTCGCACGGCAGGGAGCCGGCCTCCCGCCACCGGGCAAGGTTAACGAAGGGGGGGTAACGATGGGGGGTAACAACCTCAGGTCTGGGGGGTTGACGGACTCAGGTCTGGGGGGTGGGAGGGTGACAACCTCAGGTCTGGCAGGGTTGTTTCCCCCAACCTCCACCCCACCTGCCTGTAGTCCCAAGGGCCCTGCCTCGGGCAGGCCGAGGTTAAGGCCAAATATTAAAGAATTTAAGACTACCACAGCGCTAGGAAGGGTTGCAACGTTGCGACTTGCAGTAGATACACAAACCAAGTAAAAGGGTCTCTGACCTTCCTAACCTTAGATGAGTTGAGATCCACCCCCCAACACTCCCTTCCTGCCTACCGTGAATATAATTAAGGGGAAGCTGCAGTGGTAATTTCTCTCCTCATTAACTTCCTGATTGGTTTCAGGCTCAGGATTCCGGCGGGCGGCAGTTTGTCACCAATTCCAAATGGCCAATCGTTAATACTAATGTTTGTGTAACTAACTGCCAGCATCTGCCACGGCTTCGTGTACAGCAATAATAGTGAAAGGGTAACATTAGTGCTTCCCGTGTTAATTCAGATTCTGTTCATCAATACGAAAATCTATGAGGTAATTAGCAAAATGCATCGGTAGTTGAGGCAGTCGGAGGGAACTAAATCACAGCTGGAGCTCCATGGGCCCCTGACACCTTAATCATCAATACTTACTATGTTCTGGATTTTACTGTTTAGTGGAGAATATTACCAGGCTGTGATCTTTTAAAAGAGAATATTGTTTACAACCACTGCTTGTGTTTTAGAAGCCATGATGAATCTAGTACAACTGCGCAGGGACGAGGAATTCGGAGGTGAGGCTTCAGCTACATCCCCGAACAGCATTGCTGTGCCTAAGCGAGCAGCCCCTCCACACTTCAGCCCTGGGTACTCTCGCAAGCTCTGGGGACTTCGAGCACATCTGAAGCACAGTGAAAAAAGAAAAGGTCAGGCTTGGCCTTCACAGCTGGGCACATCCAACGGGGTTCAGGGCGAGTGAACGGCAGCCATCCGGGTTCACCCCATTGCTGGGAAAATGAGAAACGCTCTTCTAAAAGAAACCACCAACATCCCTGTTCAGTAGTATCATATGTTTCTGCAGTAACTTGCACTTGCAGCTCAGCTTCCTGATCTGTCCCAGTCTTAAACACGATGCTGGTTACCAAGAGATGGAAAAGATGTTACGGAGTTGAGGTCTTGTGTCCTTTTCATCCACTCTTCCTGTGATGATATAAAATGGCAATTTCTGTTACTTTCAGGGAGTTTCGCCCATTTTTGACATGGCAGAACCCGGCTCCCTGGTTTTATGCAAGTCTCCCCTTCGATGCTTGTAAGGGACTAGTGAGGCTCCAACATCGCCCTGCCAAAGCAGACTCTACCACTGTCTTTTAGATCTGGCACAAAACTGTTTATTAACCCGATGAATGGGACATTAACCCCATACTGTTTTTTCTCCCAGCTAAAAGACAAAGACAAGTGCTTAGCTATGAGGGAGCAGCAAAGTAAGTCAAGTCAACTTCCAACAGTTCTTAGACATCTGCCAAATGCTGCTAATGGTTTAATGGCACAGAGAGAGGAACCTGGGTCTGGAGCATCATGTACTCCTCTGCTGTGTGGTCAAACGCACTGAACAACCAAAGAGGTCTCCAGCACCTCTGGGACTGAATAACCACGGGACTGCTGGAGGAGGGCATTGACTTCACCTTGAGCAGGCTGAAACAGCACTTAGGTAACCTGCAGCTGGGAGCAGCTTTGTAGATCTTCACCTTTTCTAGCCCACCGATCCTGAAACCCAGAAGCACTGCAAGATTAGAAACGCTCCTTGCGGGGCTCAAGAACCAAGCTCTCTTCTGCCATCAGAACACACCAGGCAATTCCTGATGCTGTGTTTCCCACCTCCCCTTTTGCTGCGAGTGCGTAAGTGGGGTTGATGGTGGAGGCCAGGGAGAAGTCGCATCTCCTCAGTGTCCAGATGAGGATGCAGCTTGTCTTTCCACTTCACCTCCTCTGCTATGTCTGTGCTTGAGATTTCATCACTGCTCAAGAGCTCCATGGACTTGAACCAGATGCAAACATGCAGGTTAGGGAAAATGAGCAGAGGAAGAGAGGAACACTCCTGCTCCTCTGGAAGGGAAGGGGGCTCACCTGGTGAGACGAGCTCACAGCACAAAGGTATGCATTGGGTGGCCCAGTCTGCACCACGCTCCCCACGATCTGAAGCACACACCATGTGTTACCTCAGGCAAGTAGCTTGTTGGGAGCGGTCCCTGCTCTGACTACTGCAAAATGACAAGAACAGAGATGCTCTGTAGGTCTACACCGCAGCGTCAAAGGGGAAATCACCTACAGAAAATGCAGCAACCGGCGCCTCTCCTGATGTGGGCTAGAGACTAGCTCCTCAAAGGTCATTCAGGGGCTTAGCTTTTGCCTGCCAACAACAGAAACTTCGGTTGGATCTGGCCATGTCTGGCATCAGGAATCTTCACTTTCTCCATGAGGTACCTTGCATTAGGTAGTAAACAAGCAGTGGTGTGGCTTCAGCAGGGCTGGCTGGCTCGAGGACTCAGCTCCCTGATGCTGAAACCTCGTTCTGCTCTGACCTAGCAAAGACCAATGTGTTAAGATTTAGGACACGCTGTAAGGAATCTCCGTGTACCTGGGCTCCCAAGTGAAAGTATGAAGGAAGCGATTGGGGTTGAAAGGGGACAATTTTTTGTTTACTCCTGAGTAGCCAAATGGGCAAAAGGCTTATTTATTTTAAAGGATTTGTTAATATTTTTAGTGTGCATGTGCCTGGAGTGATGGAAAGGTCCATTTTTACATACTGAGATCTATAAATCTCTGTGACAAACTCACAGAAAGTTTTTTTTCTACATGGAAAGAATCCAATGGAAAACTCATCCAATGCGCTACAGCACGGATGTTAAAACTCTGCCACAGCAAAACTGCCATTTCGTCTTTATGATCTGTTTTCCCCACAACTCTACGCTAGTTTATTATAAACCTGGGGAATGACACAGAGGCCAACTTTCTTCATAGATAGGCACCCACATCTATTTATTAGCACCTCAAGCAGTGGCTCCTCTGCCTTCCAGACCAGTGGAGCTCCACCAATCTTCCAGCATTCCTCATGGGGCATCAGACATCCCAACCAAACTTCAAATGGGAAGTGTCATTACGTGGGAACCGTTCCAGCCACCCACTGGTTGGTCTCACAAACCACGTCAGGGTCTGAAGCACTGATCTAAATAACACGGGTTGTTTTTCCACTGACTTCCAAATCAGTCGCAGTTTTGAGGGTTACGCAATTTGGCCTATATATGCTGGTCTCTGAATGTGCAACTATGGGGGGTGTGTAACTACAGCCACATAGATTTTAGAAACAACCTGGCACTAGCGAGGTATTATCCCTAGCAGATGAGAGCGCTGCTCCTCTACCCGAACCCACATTGCTTCCTCAGACAGACCTCCCCTTTGAGCAAGGAGCAGTGGGTAGGTGCAATGCTGATAGTAAGAGCAAGATACTCGGATTGGGACTTGTAGCTATAAAAAGGCAGCAAAAAGAAAATGAGCAATTCTGTTCCAGTGTTTTAATCACACAGCAGTAAAACGTAGAAGTTCCGAGTTCAAAGAAACAAAACTCATGTTCTTTCTGATTTAAGTCTATGAGTTTCATCTGTTTGAGGCTTGCGGCTGATCCTCCCACTGTTGTTACACGGCCCTTATCTGTGTAAATAACAGCACCAGAATTGGGTCTGTGACAGTTTTTAAAGACCATGCCTTGATCTAATTACCTTTTACCCTTGGGAAAGCACCTGACTACTTTTGAGCCATATGAATCTGAAAAATTTGCGGCTAATACCACACTGGAAAAGAAGCAAGAAGGGATTGCAACCATAAACACAAAACCTTACATCTTCTGACACTGGAAAAACCACATTGACTTTTAATGTGAGTGATCCCTGGAATTCAATGGACTGAAAAGAATAACGCACTTTCAGTGATGTGAGAAAGCAGAAGGATATTCATGCTTGAAAAGTAAGTATTTTCCCAAGTTTACATTTAAAAAACTATTAAACTCTCAATAAGGAGCAATTTTTGAAGATTTAAAGTTGAGAGGTACAATCCATTTTTTAAAACTCTTTCACCTTCTTTTTCAGGGAAAAGGAAAATAAGTAAGTATGCCAGTCTCACACGCTGCTAAGGCCCGTGCACTTCTTCCTGGCATGCACGCATAGGCATGCGAGCATAGCCACACGCATTGGGTGAAGGGGGGTGGAACCAGACTGCCACGGGCAGCTCGAGGGCACCGGAGCATCACTAAAGTGTGCCTGGGTTTTCCGTGTGAGGGTGGACAGAACTGCTCTTCATGGTACTTTCTCCCGCATAGCCAAAGCATTTTCCTTTTGCCAGCAGCACTGGAAATGGATGCTGCCTAAGCAAGCGGCAGCTTCCACTCCAGGCTCCACAGATCCTGTACAAAGTGTCTTGCAAAACCAAACAGGCCTGGGAAACCGGTGGCAGTCAAACCAAGCAGTAAGCCACGCTACCAGCGCAAAGGGTGGAACAGGAGAGAATGGCATCGGCACTCTCCCCAGGTTACTGTCTTGGGGACTGGCACTGGTCTTCTTGGTGCCACTATTGGACATAGTGGGGTGACAGGCTCTGAAGATAGGCTGGCTTGGTGGGCTGGAAATACTGTGCGTTGAATTCAGTTTGAAAACACTGCCCATGTTGATGGTAGCCTGCCCACTCCACTGCTCAGATTGACCCCGGAGGGCTGACTCAACCACCCACCGCCAGCAAACAGCCTGCCAAGCTACAGCAACTG